ATCTTGCTGACAACGAATGAGTCATCAGTTGCTAAGCATGCAGCGGCCCCTCTCCTTAGCAACCCATAATTACAGGCATTCTTTTGTTTACATTTCAGCTGTCAGTGGGGGAATCCTGCAAAAAATTAGGTTTGAGGTGTTAGTGGTGCTAAAATGCCATAACCGCACAGAGATATTCTTGAAAAGCACAAGTTATCTGGCCAAAGAGAAAAAAAAATATTTACAACTGTGAAACAGCTATGGAATAAGAGGTTGTGCCAAATTAAAAGTGCCATTGAAAGTAACAAGATCCCAGCATTGGATGGTTACGGTGGTAGGCCTAGAGAGGTGGCATTACAGGTTAATAGTGCCAGGCCAAGCAGTTGTAGAAGGAAGTGTTAATGGTGGCTGGGTGAGTTCATGAAGGCAGGAGATGGCAATGGTGGCAGGAGATGGGTTTATCTCAGGCCTGTGGCAGAATCCTTTCTGATGTCTCTGATCCAGGACTGGTTCATTTTAAAAATTGTGAGCTGATCAACTATAGTACGTTCGGGGACAGACAGACAGACCCCTTTTGTCTGTTACGAAATCCCACACAGCACTAAATGTACATTCAGAGAGGAAGCTTTATTGCATACTGGGCAAGCTCTGGCCAGTGGTCCATCCTTATTACCCAGTTAAAGGGGAGTTGAAAAATTGTCAACATCTGTCCTTGACCCTATGTACTCCCCACTATATCATGCAGCTGCTGTCAACAATTACCTTTAGCTGGCAGTCCTGGGCACTTAGTAGAGAAAAATGTTTTGAATGACTTGCTTAGGCAGCTACCCCCACCTTTCAATGACAGCAAGCACCAAGCTACATTGTCCATGAACCAGCATACTTCGAGCCTCTGGAAAGGAGGTTAATGGAATCTGCCACATCTTGTCCTCTAGGTTTTTCATCTTTTCTTCCTTCTGTCAGGCAAGATGAGCTCTGTGACTTTATTACTGTAGAGTTGATCCTGGACGGTTGTCAACCAGTAATGGTCCTTCACCTTTGTGCCATGAAGCCTAGGGTTCTTCTGCAAGCTCTGCATCATAAATGAGCCCATCTGCTACAAGTTACCAGAAGAGGAACCTGAGTCCTCAGGAGCACCGGCGACAACATTGTCCTCAGCTACCTCCCCCCCAGCCACATACAACACCTGGGATTTTTGAAGGATGAAACCCACCTTTTACATGTCCACCTCCTTATCTATCCTTATCTATCTCAAATACAGTCATGGCAACTATACTCCTCATCTGTATGTTACTGTTTCTGCTGAGGTTCCACAGGGACAGTGTCGAGATATAGCAAGCCTTGAGACACCAGGAAGATCTCCGCTTTCTCCTGCTGTTGTACCTCCAGTGCCCTGCCTATAATGCGATGCAGTTTCTGTCCCAGCGGGAAGGCTACAGGATTTGTGACACTGATGCCCAAATCATCATAGCTCACTATTCTAGTTGTCTTCTCAGACAGTGACAATATGCTACAAGTGCCCTGTATGCAGAGCCACTGATATGGGTAGAAAAACCCCAACTCCTTTAAGCCTTTCCCCATGCCACACTCTACAGGTGCTTAGTTATGCCCTGCTGTCAGGGATGCGGGTGTGATCAGAATTGTGTGGACTGACACAGGGAAACATAAGCTTCAGATATAGTAAATAATATAATTTATTAAGACTAACAATACAAACGCAGTGCAAAACTAAACATAACACAGTGCAAACAAACTGAACCAAACCTCCAACAGATAACAAACATACGATACAAGAGTAGTCAGGCAGGCCGGGTCGGTAGCAAACGGGCAAACAGAGTACCAGGAGCAGGCGGGAGAGTGGTCAGGACTAACCGAGGTCAGTACAGGCAGAGTTCAGGCAGTGTCAGGACAGCAGAAACAGGATCAGGAAACCAGGGCCAAGCAAACAGTACAACAAGGCCCAAACTGCAGGTCTGGCCATCCCTTAAATACACCACCTGCAATCAGCCCCAGGTGATGACTAATTGCCGAAGTGAGCCTCTGGTTGTTGAGAGCACCCGCTGGCCAGCCCTGGTACTGCAGCCCACAAGGCAGGTGAGTCCCACCACTATTGGCAAGTCCATTCCTGACACCTGCTGATGTACACAAAGATCATGTAAGCTGTGGTGCTATTTTGCTTGGTGTCTAGTTAAGGATACTTTGCGGTATAAGTCAAGGAAACTTAAACCTCTGTAGTGCATTAATGTGCTTTTACTAAATGAAAATGCTGTACATAGAAGATGTTACAATTATTGGAAACAATACAAGATTTGTAGATATACATACAACATGCAAAATGCTACCTACGTCTTAGCAAATAAGTCTGTATACAATGAAAATGTGCTATAAAAGTTACTTAACTGAGGTTAAACTGGGTTCACAATCTCTGTAGGCAATGAGTCAGAGATCTTCCTTGGTGTTAAGTCATCTTAGAGTCCTCCTTTCCAGTCAATGTGGCTCTTGTCCCCTATATATACTAGCTGCAAAACTGTATAATAGCATTTTGCTTGAGCTCTTGCATTGCCTCTTGCTGGGGACTGGTGGTTCAAAGGAAGACTCAAACAATGCATGCAATTAGAAGAGGTAGGGAATGGAGGTGACTGCACAGTCACTGTCACCATCCATAAGGATGCAGGGCAACACAACTAGTTCCAGTGTTCCCCTACCCTGCATCCTTCCAGATGACTTAACCCAATGGGCCATGAAAAATATATGCTCTCCCTGCCCATACTTGTTGGGCCATGTGTCTGTGGTCTGATGGACCCTCCTGCTAATCACGTTATCCAGCAATATGGGACATTAACTTCTACATGATAGTGGGGGGAAGGGATGACCTTACAGATGAAGAAATGGTGGTTGGGAAAATTCTTGAAAGGGGTCTAAATCCACCAGCTGAATTACCATAAAGTTTGGATTTACTCTGAATATCTGAATAGTGGAAGTTCAGTGCAATTTCTCAGGTCATCCCTAGTGTCAGAAGTCAGAACTATAAAATTTACAGCACAGCCTGCAGAAGGCAGCTGCAAAGAAGTGGGTGCGTATATAAAGGGATGGCTCATTGAAAATAATTGTCATGCACCAGTGTTAAAAGCAGCTGGTGCTGGAGATTTAGAAACTGGACAAAGGCTGCAGAGAACATCAAACGTGTTATTGTACATGCGATTGATATTATTTGCCAAATTTTATTTTTTTTATTTATAATATTTGGACAACATTCAAAAAGGAAACGTTTTCATGTAGAGGAATAATTAGAACATAAATTAATGTGACTATTTGGATTGAAGCTAGCCATATATGGTTTGAAAAGCAGCTTATTCAAAAAGGACCAGGTGAAATACATTGCGTTGCTCTACCTCTTCAAAAGAAGTTAATTGTTAGATCAGTGTATTCTGACAGTTCTAGATCCCACTGAATACAATGTCCAAATGGGAGAGATTCTCCATCCACCAAACTTGAGTGCATGGAGGAATCTGTTTGTTTTCAATAGGTTGAAAAAAAAAAAAAAATGTCTATGGCCAGATTAAGGATTATAAGCAATATGTAAGAGTGGTGGATGATAGCTTCAAGGAAGGTTCAAATAACTTTTACAGCAGTAACGTAGAGAGGAAAACTAGAGGCAGTAGTAGTGGTGGTATTGAGAGTAAAGGTGGCCATAGATGGAAATGCAGCCAGCTCGGCAGGAACCAGACAAATATTGATTAGTTTGTGGTTGTCCCTGTCAATTGATCAACTTCTGTTAAAAGAGAATGTTGAAAAACTGTTCTCAATCAGCAACTGCAGCCAAAAGGCTGCAGCCACTGATTACTGTGTTCTGACAATGGCAGGTCCTGCTGTCAGAATACAATGTCCCAACTGGGGATGATTCTTCTATATACTCTATTTGTGTGGTTGAAATAATCTGTCAGTTTTTTTATTCAGCCTGCTAAAAATGAATTATCCTTGGCCAGCTTAAGATTTAAAAGGGGCAGGATTTTACATGCACATGGCAGAGAATAGTGAAAGTGGTTTTACAGATTTACAAATAAGCAATTACAGTAAGAAGAACAGCAGGAGGATGAAATGTAGTGAAAGATCTGTGGATAAGAGGAACAAGAACATTATAATACAGCATTCCAGCATATATTGGAAAGATAAGAACACCTAATTTTCAGAGAGCAAAATGTCCAAGACTGAGGGCTGCCCTCCAAGATTTAGACTGGGAGGGGGGATATTGTCATTAAAGAACACAAAACAGAAACAAGAATGTTTCAAATCAACTGTATGGAAAACACACTGCTAAATATATTTCCTTGGGTAATAAGCTTAAAAGGCTAAAAATAAAACCTATGTACCCACATCTAAAGTTTAAAAAGCTATAAGTAATAAGAAAAGAAAATGTAAAAAATGTAACAATGAAGAAACACTTTCAGCATTTAAAAGTTACAAAGAATACAACAAAATGTGTAAGAAGAAAATCAAGGTCACAAAAATTCAAAATGGACGACAGGTTGCAAAAGAGAGTAGGACAAATTCCAGACAATTCTTTAAATATATTCAGCAAAAAGGTCAAGTCTTTACAAGATAATTTAAAGTTGGTGACTGGGAACAAAAGGATGGGACATTTATTATATACTTTCTTCAACTCTGGGTGTACACAAAATGAGGGAGCTCAAATCCACAATGGGTGTATTGACATAATCCCAAAAGAGCCACAATGGCTCAAAATTGGTATAGTCCAAAAACATTTAGAAAAAATAAAGGTGAATGATGCACCTTAATTTGATGGTTTACATCCACATGTCCTCAAAGAGTCGAGCTCTGTTATTTCATTGTTTTTAATTTTTTGGAGACTCTTTAACAACTGGCATGCTACCACGGGATTGGTTCAAGGCCAATGTGATGCCTATATTTAACCGTCTCCCACCCTCCATATAAGGTAATGACGGGCACAAGGTGGTTCTCTTGTTCTGGGAGGACTTCATATGGGGGGGGGGGTGCGCACGCAGTGCAGTGATCGGTGGGATGCTGTGTCCCTGGGACTCAGCGGATCACCAATCAATGGAAAGAGCCAATGACGTCGGCTCTGTCATGTGATCAGCTGTGTCCAATCACAGCTGATCGCATGTAAATAAGGAAATGCCGGTTATTGGCATTCCTCTTCTCACGACCTGACAGCTTGTGAGGAGAGTAGAGCCGGTAATCAGGTAATAGGCATTACTCAGAGGGGACATGTACACTGATCATCAGGGCACAGATGATCAATGTGCCCTGATGATCAGTGTAGCCCATCAGTACCATCTGTCAGTGTCCATCAATGCTACCTGTCAGTGCCCATCAATGCCACCTGCCAGTGCTTATCAGTGCCACATCAATGCCACATATCAGTGCCCATCTGAGCTGCCTTTCAGTGCCACCTATCAGTGCCAGTCACTGCCACCTATCAGTGCCGCCTATCAGTGCCAGTCAGTGCCACCTATCAGTGCCACCTAACTGTGCCAGTCAGTACTGCCTATCAATGCCAGTCAGTGCTGCCTATCAGTGCCACCTATCAGTGCCATATATGAGTTTTGCCTTTCAGTGCCCATCAGTGATGCATGTCAATGCCCATCAGTGCCACCTACCAGTGCCTCCTCATCAGTGCCCATCAGTGCTGCCTATCAGTGCCCATCAGTGCTGCCTATCAGTGCCCATCAGTGCAGCATATCAGTGCCCATCAGTGCAGCCTCATTAGCGCACATCAGTGAAGGAGAAAAATCACTTTACACACAATTTACAACATTTTATAACAAAAAATAAGAAAAAACATTTTTGTTTCAAAATGTTCAGTTGTTTTTGATATGTTTAGCAAAAAATAAAAAAAACCCAGAGGTGATTTAATACCACCAAAAGAAAGCTCTATCTGTCTCAAAAAATGATAAAAATGTCATATGAGTACAATGTTGTATGACCGCGCAATTGTCATTCAAAGTGCAACAGCACTGAAAGCTGAAAATTGGCCTGGGCAGGAAGGGGGTATAAATGCCCTGTAGGTAAGTGGTTAAAAAAGAATCAAAGTATTTATTAAGTACCTAAAGACTGGTTAGTTTAACTTCTATATTCAGAAAGATACAGGAGAGTTTAATAAAAGACCACATAGAAGAGTTTTTGTAGAGAATGGATCTACATGAGAAGAAGTGTTAATATGGAAAAATTCCCGCAGATGTTGAGAGAGCATATATATATGTTTGAGGTTTCCTGTAGCAGTTTTGTGTTACAGCGCCACATTATAAATCTTTTGCAAGCTTCCCCCTCTGCTATGTCAATAAAGATGGACGCGTGGTATGACCATGTGATGTCAGATATCGTAGCTGAGGATATCCTTTGCAAAAACCATTTGTCAACTAGGAACATATTGATTCTAGAATATGTGTTGTGTCTAGCTGAGAAGTATGTGTAGTCTCTTTCATTGTTATGTAGACAGCACCAGACATCATATAAATCCTCTTGGTGCAGCAGCGGTTGAAGAGAAGGCAAACGGTGCTGCACAGGTATGAAGTCTTCACATAGGATGAGATTACCATATTTCATTTTGTTTATTTTAGACCTTAACTTGCCCATGAAGTGTAGTTGGTGGGATTTGGGGCATACACTCCAACTAAAATATAAGGACAGTTGTTCCCATCAGGGGCGGACTAACCATTTGGAAACTCGGGCACTGCCCGAGGGCCTGGGGTCAGTAGGGGGCCCCATGAGATGCCCCTGGTACCTTTTTCATATGCTTTTTTGAGTTTGGGCAAGGACACAGGGGCCCCGTGATCCCCTATTGCCCAGGGGCCCCTTGAGTTGTCAGTCCGCCCCTGGTTCACATCACATAATAAGATTATACACCGTGTTCCAAATTATTATGCAAATGATATTTTTCTTGTTTACCTAAATAATTGATGTAAATAACAGTCAGCATAATTCTCATGTTATCAACTATTAAGAGTACAATTCACATTTTATTGAACAAACCTCCTAATGATAACAGGATTTTTTTAAAACATAAAACACTTACAATGCACTGTTCCAAATTGTTACGCACAGTAAGTTTCAAAACACTTTATAGGTTGTAAAGAACTGAAAATTGTCATTTGTTGTGTTTGCAGTATATTTACTGAAATCAAAAGCTATTTCAATCAAACTTTTAACAACATTTTAACTTTTAACAGGTCACGTTACATTGTAACTAGAGATGAGCGAATTATTCAAAAATTCGATTCGGCTGATTCGCCGAATTTGCGGAATAAATTCGATGCAAATTTATTCGCTGTGAATTTAACTTATTAAAAGGGTTTCTAGGCTTCAGAGAGCCTTTATATTAGTGCAGAACACTGTACCTTTAATTTAAATGCCCTTGGAGTCTGCTGGGGAAGAGAAATAATACTGTCAGTCAGTATGACATGCAGATGAGTGCCGTCGATCTTAGAATCACCGCACACTTCACTCATTTGGGCAGTCACGGGGCACGACGAAGAAGATGAAGAAGAAGATGCAGAAGAAGAAGAAGATGAAGAAGAAGAAGAAGAAGATGAAGAAGAAGATGAAGAAGAAGAAGAAGATGAAGAAGAAGAAGAAGAAGAAGAAGAAGAAGAGGATGAGGATGAAGAAGAAGAAGAAGATGAGGATGAAGAAGAAGAAGAAAGATGAAGAAGAAGATGATGAAGAAGATGATGATGAAGAAGATGATGAAGAAGAAGATGATGAAGAAGAAGAAGATGATGAAGAAGAAGAAGAAGAGATGAAGAAGAAGAAGAAGAAGAAGAGATGAGGATGAAGAAGAAGAAGAAGAGGATGAGGATGAAGAAGAAGAAGAAGAAGAAGAAGAAGAAGAGGATGAGGATGAAGAAGAGGATGAGGATGAGGATGAAGAAGAAGAAGAAGAAGAGGATGAGAATGAAGAAGAAGAAGAAGAGGATGAGGATGAGGATGAAGAAGAAGAAGAAGAGGATGAGGACGAAGAAGAAGAAGAAGAAGAAGAAGAAGAAGAGGATGAGGATGAGGAAGAAGAAGAAAGAAGAAGAAGAAGAAGAAGAAGAAGAAGAAGAAAAGGTAGGATGAAAATAAGAAGAATTCCAGTACAGCAAAAAGTGTATCTGCAGAGAGCTCCGCTATTTCTGACAGTTCTCTGACAGTTCCTTCACATTTACAGCGGTTGAAACATTGTATCTATTTGTTTCCGAATAAAAACATCTGTATCCTAAATGGAAACAAATAGATAGGAACTGTCAGAGAACTGTCAGAAATAGCGGAGCTCTCTGCAGGGACACTTTTTGCCGGCTGTAGAAGGGATGAAAATCGGCCGATCGATCGAGAAAAATTCGATTCGTGCATCCGAAGTTTGCTAATTTTCGGATTCGGTGCGAATCGAATTTTTCCTAATATTCGAAACGAATTCCACTTCGCCAAGTTCGATTCGCTCATCTCTAATTGTAACATAGGACCCCTTATTTGATAGCAGCTTCACAAGTCTTGCATCCATTGAACTTGTGAGTTTTTGGACAGTTTCTGCTTGAATTTGTTTGCAAGATGTCAGAATAGCCTCCCAGAGCTACTGTTTGGATGTAAACTGCCTCCCACCCTCATAGATCTTTTGCTTGAGGATGCTCCAAAGGTTCTCAATAGGATTGAGGTCAGGGGAGGATGGAGTCCACACCATGGCTTTCTCTCCTTTTATCCCAATAACAGCCATTGATGCAGAGGTATTCTTTGCAGCATGAGATGGTGCATTGTCATGCATGAGGATGATTTTATTACGGAAAGCATAGTTCTTCCTTCTGTACAAGGGAAGAAAGTGGTCAGTCATAAACTCCACATACTTTGCAGAGGTCATCTTTACACCTTCGGGGGCTCTAAAGGGACCGACCCACTCTGTTCCCATGATTCTGACTCCACCACTGCCTTGCTGACATCGCAGCCTTGTTGGAACAGGGTGGCCGTCCACCAACCATCCACTACTCCATCCATCTGGACCATCCCGGGTTGCACGGCACATCCAGGGTTGCACGGCACTCATCAGTGAACAGGACTGCTTGAAAATTAGTCTTCATGTATTTCTCTGCCCAATGCAGCCGTTTCTGCTTGTGAGCATTGGTTATTGATGGCCGAATAGAAGGTTTATGCACAGTTGCAAGACTCTGGAGGACTCTACACCTTGATGTCCTTGGGACTCCAAAGGCACCAGCAGCTTCAAATATTTGTTTGCTGTTATGTAATGGTATTTTAGCAGCTGCTCTCTTGATCCGATGCATGGATCTGGCAGAAATCTTCCTCAATGTGCCTTTATCTGCACCAACCCGTCTGTGCTCTGAATCAGCCACAAATCTCTTAATAGTGCGATGATCACGCTTACGTTTTTGTGAAATATCTAATGTTTTCATACCTCGTCCAAGGCATTGAACTATTTCACTCTTTTCGGCAGCAGAGAGTTCCTTTTTCTTCCCCATATTGCTTGAAAATGGTGCTCTGCTTAATAATGTGGAACACCCTTCTTTAGTAGTTTTTCCTTAAATTGGGCTCACCGGCCAATCTAATTATCACAGGTGTCCAAGATTGTTTTCAGTGATCAAAAGAGCCCTGACACACAATGACATCCATGAGTTAAACTGAAAAACAAAATATTTAATCTTTGTGACACTTAAATAGAACTTGCATAATAATTTGGAATGCGGTGTATAGCGACCCTTGGGATCAGCTATAGACTTCTGAAGATTAAAGGCCACAGAACGTTTGAAGACCAGAAGCACTCCCCTCTTTTTTAAGGAAGCTCGTGCTAGGTAGATATGAGGGAAATCCCTTTGCAAGTATTTTGGGGTAGCATTCAGATGGAAGTGTGTCTCTTTAGCACAGATAATATCATATTAGCATGGGTATTACGTGCTTTGCGCCATAAGAAAAAATGTTTGGCGGAGTTGATTCAACCCGCGGTTATTTATAAACAAGATTTTGAAACCCATAGTGAGTATATAAGCAGATAGTATAATGCATCACCTGTTGCCCCATAATATGGGTAGGAGGTAGTGTGTTTGTTGCAACAAGAGGTAGTCCTGGTGTCGTGAACAGTGGTAAAGTCACTTTCAAACATTATTGATGGATCCAAGGCTGTTTGTAGATAAGAAATGCGGAGAATGATAGAGAATGCTGTAGATGAGTGAAGTTAAACTTGAACAAATCTCTATGTACAGAAACAAAAATTAGCTTTGATAAAAAAAGCATCCTAAGAGAGGCTGCAGCAGAAATGCGTTTACAAGCCAAAATCTTGAGAGAATCGATCAGTAAAGTGTTCTACTTTGCGGAATATCACAAGTAGCTGTTCTTTGATAGAAATGCACTGGAGGATGGTAGGTAATTAAGTTTGGGGACTCTGTGGATCCAGTCAATTGTAAGATCTGCTGATGTGAGTGTGGGTAGGAGAGCTAGGAAAAGGTCACGCGGCAAATTATCGTAGCTGCACTGGTTGGATGGATTCTGGAATTTCCTGGATTTTTAAAAGATTTCAGCAAGACCAGTC